AGTGATATTTTGTCTCTGTCAAAAACACATTGGCATATCTGACTGAAAAATCCTATTGTCTAGAGGAAATCAAACTTTAGAAATGATGCTCTGAAGAGACAGCATAACAGTCGCCTTGTGGAAGAAATACACAAATACAGATTTTTTTTTTCTCAATATCAAAGCACACATAACATGGTGCCATACTAGATAAACACATTGTTTGGACTGACAATAAACACAATATGCAAGACTGGAAATGTTCCCCTATTACTGATTGTTCTGTGATGTGTACAGCTGGTTATAGGTATGGCCACACAGCTCAATTCTCAAAAATATGTAGGTGGTTTAAATTCTAGCAAAATAACATTATATGAGCAGTTTGCTTAAACTCTTCAAGGACTGATTTTGTATTACACTTCCATAAATGTAGCTGACTTATGAATGACTTTTCAAAGATCAAATTCAAACTCAAAGCAACAGAGGCAAAAGAGATTTTGAATGTAGGCGTATAATATCTGTCCAGTTTAAGTAACACTGGATGCATCAATTTCAATGATGCAACTCAGTTGTATAGTTTCACTAGATCCTCTCTGCTTCTGTAGCAAAGCCATCCTTTTAAGAAAAACTGCTACAATGCCAAGCTGAGATAACCTTGATGACATCACAATAGCATCATTAGCATGAAATTTTCAGGCACAGAAAACTTACACTGCTTCACTGGAAGCAGTGTAAGTTCAGTGCTAACCTTCAAAATATTTAGACATATTTTTACACACAAAATGGTTGTTCCTTGCTTGTTCCCTGCTTTTCACCTCCTGAAACTGTCATTTTGAAACAATAACATTTTTAAAGATTGTCCTCTCATAAATAAATTACAAATGATGATTAGCACAAGTAACTAATTATGACCCATAGCTACCTTTTCAGCAGTATTTAGCAGGCTTGTGACACTGCATCAGGTGTTCCAGAAAATGTTATGTTGTTATGTTCAACTGACAAATGACTGGAACAAAGGAGGCGGTTGCTGTTTTAAGGTGCAAGAAGAAGGTTGGGCTGGTTGGTTTGGCAAGATGCTGGACTTGAACACAGAAGGTCACTGTTCATTTCCAGTTTGAAACCTACTTATGAAGATACTGGCATTCACCAACACTTTCTTATTTGGGATTTAATTTTAGGTAAGAACAGAATCTGTGCGCTTTCAGGAGCACACTTACACACATTTGGCCACTGGCATGTGAGTGAAATAACTGGTTAAAAATAGAGCAAGCAATGAATTGCTTGTTTATAAATCAACGTTTTAATTTTTACAGTGTGAATATTTGTATCTTTGAAATAGGAAACACATTACTTAAAAACCAAACACATTTAAGTTCATGTCTTTATTTCTAATTTTTGTCTCTTGGATATTTTGGCCCATGTGTAAATGTTTCCTTGTCAAGCTCCACATCTGAGATCAGACCCAGGGCAGTTAAAGGGCCCTGGGTGCACACATGGAGGTCTGCTCAGATACCTCTGGGCCAGCCTGTCCTCCTCCACTGGTCGGCATCTTTCCTCTGTGTTTGTTTTGTTGTCTCGGATTTGAGGTCAAACCATTTTGTTTCTGTGCGCCCTTCTCCTTATACAACGTTCACTGAACAAGTAAGGACATTCCATGTGTCTTTTTTTGTTTTGTTTTATATTCACTACTGATGCTACTGAACATGGCAGCATTTGATGTTCTCCACTTTATAGCTACTCTGTTTTTTTTATTGAACATCATATTTATAGACATACAAGGCAGTAAAACCTATCTAGAGAACCCACAAGGGACTGAGCAACAAATCATACAGAGATTAATATCTGAACAAAACAAACATAAATAAATCAACTGAAATAAATAAATAAAACATATATAACCAGGGGATTACAGTAAATGTTACAGATTTCGGATTCCGTTACCACTCATGCAACCCAGGGATTTCTTTTCCGTTTCTGTGCGAGCAGTCTCATGCCCTTTTTTGGGATTGGTGGGACGTTAACCTATATTAATTAGGAACAACTGGAATGCATATTCAACTTAGGGCCACAGGATTTATCAATATAAGAACACAAGTGTGAACATGAATCAGCTGTAGACTTTTCTTAAGACCTTTCTTAAGAATAACCTACAAAGAAATTTAAGAAAACACTCAGGAAGATGCTGGTGAATGAGTTTCTTTTAGCCATAATGACGTTAATCATGTGTCATAACATTAACATAGCACTTGTTTTTAGCCCATAATCTAATCATATACATAGCCAAACCTTTACTACAGCACTGGCTTTTATCAGTTTATCTGTAGCTAATCCCATGTGTCAAATCAGAAGGTAGAGACAAACAAGCTATGCAAAGCACTACCAACTCATGCTGTGCAGGAAAAACCACAGAAGTGTATTTTTAATTCTAGTGGACATCCCAAACATGTCAGGCTGTCTTTTGGGGAAATATGTCTGAAATGATGCACAAGACGTGTAGGGTATTTACATTTGGTTGAATCCACAGAAAAACATGCAGTCTTTGGTTTGACCGTATCATTCAGTGTAACCATCCTATAGCTTGAAGGGCAGGAACAATCTTAAAGAATATATTTGATCCTGTTAGTGTGGGAGAACATTATTTTAATTACCTTAGAGCTGGTCATTATAAGAGTCAAGGTCAAGGTCAAAGTGTTTATTTGTCTTATGCACAGTTAGGAAACGTGTTTCCCTGTAAATTGAAATTCTTTCTTTGCCGTCCACATGAATGCCACACAGTACAAGTGAAATATAAAGTAGATGAGCAATAACACAAATCTAAATAGGCAGTAAAATCTAAGACACTTTAAAGCAGAAAGTGAAGGAAGCAAATAAAAATACAACAAGAACACAATATAATGCACAGAGAATATATGCTACGTGAGTGTAAATACTCAGCAGTGAGTGTGCAATTAGAAAAGAGGTAAATACAATGAGTGAAACTAACTTTAAAAAGAGAAAGTTTTCAGTGCTCTTGTTGAGCGAGCCCCTCAATGTGCAGTCACTCTAAAATAAAAAATAAGAAAATTAAAACTACACCTGCTTATTGTCTGAGGTAGCTACCAGCTGTGGGCCCCTCATACACACCTCTGTATTCTTGTGTTGCAACAGGCCTTTGATCAGGTAATTGCCCCTCGGCCCCCAGAGTTTGCATCCCCCATATGTTACTATGACGACCACCTCTCTAGCATCCATCTGTATCCCCTTCACAGCCTTTTTAAGATGGACTTATATGTTATGAGGCTGTGAGTGACGGAGGACAAAGGCAGAGAGGCACTACCAACCTTTCATGACTGCTCACGTATATGGTAACAGATGTGTGTGTACATGTGCGTGTGTGTTTCTTTTTGTTCGCCTTTCTGTGAATCTGTTTGTTTGTTTTCCTGCCCACTCTCCATGTCTGTGTCACCTTGCGGAATGACAGAATGCATTTTTTCTGACTGGAATATAAGGATTCTCTTTGTTTCCCACTTAGCTCTGAGACACAACAGGTCCACATGCACATGTTATCAGAGTGCAGGTGGAGCTCAGGGAAAACAGTTTGGGGACTCAAAGTACTGTCTCGAGACACTCTGATGGAGGGTGACACATTTTCTGTTGCATGGGATTGAATATGTGAAGATTTGGTGACAAGAGCTAAACTAATGTCCCACTATGACACAAATATTACATAGCCATGAAACCCTCTTAAATCCCACCACCAGTTTTTTGTGCTAGTACCTTTCCATTCAATTTAAATATTCTAGATGTATTAGACATCGATTTTACACACATTTCCTCAAAATACACACCCAGCATATCTGATACCTTTGAACATTTTGGGATCTCCGCTAGAATTTTCATTATTGTTTTGTGGGTTTAAATAATGCTTACCTGCATGGCCTGAGTTTGTAATGACTGACCCGCTAATAGGCGTTTGTGGTTGATGGAGTTTAGTCAGACTGGGGCCTCTCACGATCAAAGCTTTCTGATGCCGACTGACTCTCAGAAAAAGCCAACTCCACACCTGGAAGTTATACGCAGCCACATCATCCACTAGTGACAGTTTCTGCTGGAATAGTGTCACGTTGTGTACCTTGCTGGAGGATACTGGTGGAAGCCACATGTTTAATACCATAATGTTCAAGCATATCCATAACTAGTTTACAGGTGTTGGGTGACAATTATATGCACAGAATGACAAAAAAAACTTGAAACACTTAGTCAAATTAACATGAAATAAAAGATTTGGGGACAGTGTGAGTGTTTTTTTTTAAAGCAGTCAAGATTTTAAATACATAATTCATTAAATAAATTTGTATCCATAATTTCAACTTTTCATTTCTATACATACAGTATTACTATTGGAACATGTAATGGTACTGTGTATAGATCAGAGTAAGACTGCACTACTGATTTTTAAAATGAAAAGTCTTGACAATTTTCTTTTTCAGTTGGTTCACTTACAATTGATTCACATTGCCTTGGTATATAACATAATAGAAAGCAATGAAAAATGTTCATCAGAATTTTATCACAAATAGAGAACAAGTCTTCTGATTACTTATTGTTTGACCAACAGTCCCAAATTCAAAAATTAAACGGAGACATACATTGATATAACAGGCAAAAGCTGCAATTTCTCTCATTTGAGAAGATAAAACCTGAGGGTTTTTACTTTTTGACTTCATGGATTATCAAAATTGTTACTGGGTTAGGGTTTATTCTCTGCTGACTGACTAATTGTTCCAAAACATGCATTCAACTTTTCCTTCTTTGCCACTTATTTTTCATATAATTTAGTTAAATATAAAAAACATTAATATACAAAAAAATTCTGACCAGAAAATAAATATTTAAACAGTATTTTTATTGAACATTACAGAACAGCGTGAGAAACATGGAGCTTCAATCAAGCGATCGCTGCTTTATCTAGGCATAGGCTACAGACATCTGGTAACATATTATGATGGTGACAGTTTTCATTATCATTTTCATTCTTTATCCACAAAAACCTGTTTATGCCACTTTTAATGCTTGGTGGCTTTTAGAGATGCTTCTCTGATCTCTTAGGGTCAAAACTCAAAGATCCGGGGAGTCTATAGCCTTCTGACACCAAAAAAACCGAGCCCATCATGGTCTGCAGAAATGACACTTGATTATTTTCTTGAAAGCGCTCTGAAAGTCTTTGTTGAAGTATGCGTAGATGATGGGGTTGAGTAAAGAGTTGGAGTAGCCCAGCCAGTTTATAACATCCGCCAGCCAGCGGGGCATGTAGCACGACTCCTGGCAAAAAGGCATGACCAGGGCGACGATGAAGAAGGGAAGCCAGCAGAGGATGAAGGTGCCCATGATGATGCCTAGAGTCTTCACCGTTTTGCGCTCCCGTGCCAGCGCGATCTTCCGCTTCGCCTCGGTTGCTTTCTCGTGCCTGCTCTCGAACAGTGGCACGGAGCTCGGGGTGTGGGGCAGTGGCAGATTGCCTTTAGAGTTGCTGTGAACTTCGATGATCTCCAGAGACTCCCCGTCCTCCGTGTGTTTCACCGCACCATTGACACTCGGCAGCGGCCGGGGCTCAACGGTCCTTTTCCAACTCTTGCTTTGCACGTCTCCGGGAGCCTTTTTATGGAACAGAGTGGGGGATAAAGCCAAGCAAGAGTCAGACACTTTCTTTTTCTCGTTTTTACGCACCGTCCTCCTGATCCGAAACCTGGCAGCTTTGAATATCCGCCCGTATAAAACCAACATCAATGTCAGTGGGATGTAAAAAGCCCCGAATGTGGAGTATATCGTGTACCAAGGGTCTTGCCTGATTTTACACTCTTTAGGGTTCGCCCTGTCCTCTGCCATGCTGCTGGGTCGAGAGCGCATGATCAGCATAGGCGGCACTGAGATGGAGAACCCGACGAGCCAAGTGACACTAATTAGAACCGCAGCTCTTCTCGGTGTCCTCTTCTTCATGTAATCTATGGGTTCGGTTATTGCCCAGTATCTGTCCAGAGCGATGGCGCACAGGTGCAGGATGGACGAGGTGCAGCACAACACATCCAGGGAGATGAAGATGTCGCACGGAACCTCCCCGAGAGTCCACCGGTTTAAGACCTGGTAAAGCGCCGCCATGGGCAGCACCAGCACCGACACCATCAGGTCAGTAACAGCCAGTGAACCGATCAGGTAGTTGGCCACATTCTGCAGAGACCGTTCCAAAGCTATGGCTGCAACCACACACGCGTTCCCAAATATTGCGCACAGGATGAGCGCGCCAAGCAAGAAGGATGTGATCACTTGATAACTCAGCTTCACTTCTTCGTCTTCGGGTCTCACGGTTTTGTTGGAAGAGTTGTCAAATTGAGGCCAGGCCGTGGTGTTGTTCGTGCCCTCCATTGCTGGTAAAACTAGATGCGTTTGGAGAGCTTCGGTTACTTGTTGGAGAGCCTGGTGCCCACGACACCGTCGCACCTTGAAGAGGGCATATTGGACTGTTGGGCTGTTTTGGTGATGCAGAAAGGGTCTGAACTGCGACTCTCGGCTACTAACAGAGAATGATACCGTGTATTTATACCGATGATGGGAAATGCGTCACTTGTCTGTGAGGATGTAACAGACTCCGACTGTTCGCATCTGTTTAGTGAAGCCCGTGAATATTAAAGAGTTATTAAATGGCCTACGAGTTATGCTCTTCAGACCGAAAGTCATTATAAATTGCTTATTATAATTTTTTTAAATTTTTTTAAGATTTGAACTTTCTTGAAGCAAGTAGATTTTGCCATTTAAGTGAGAAAAGAACTTTTAATGCTTTCGAAAATGTGTCATATGAGAGAAAGAATCAAAGAATAACTAATACAGTCTGTACTGTGTTTGTACTTACCTTAAAAACTGCTTAACTTTACATAATTAGCAGTTAATATATTGGTTATCCCCAAGTTAACGCTTTTTAAAGGGTTTTAAGGCGTTACTCTCTTTTGTTGTCAGCATTACTGAACCCCCAGGTGTGATACTGCCACCTGGCGTTAGCGCAATTTCAGTGATATTCAGTTAAAATTACAAATTGACAATACAATCAAATGGGCATTGTTAGGTGGTAGTAGACTGTAGTAAAATCATGTTTTTCAGTGATGATTTCTTATCAAACAGTTACTCCAATTATGGGTTTTATTAATTGCAACACCACCATGTGGTCTATAGACAGGAACACTCCTGCTCCTCTGCTCCTGTGTTCACTCAGCACAGATGTGTGAAACCATTAAGCCTTCCTAATGGTTTGAGTTTGTTGTGTGTCCACACATCCTGATTGAGGTAAATGTGACAATACACACTATTGTATTTTGTTCATATGTTACACACACACACACACACACACACATATATACTGTATATATCTATATCTATATATATATATATCTATATGAGTTCCAAATGTAGATATATGGCATCTAAAGTTAGCTTGTGTATTGTAGTTAATGAAAATCAAGATTGATGCCATTTTAACACGTTTTCTTGTACAGTATGTGTATGCAATTCATACTGTGTGTAAGTATGAAGTGTTTATGCCAAGACATACGGGCACACCTAATTCAGTTCTTTCTTTCTTTTCTTGTTTCTGTTATTTTCTACATTGTAGATTAATACAGAAAACACCAGCACTCTGAAATAACATATTTGGGATTATATATCAAAAAAGGTGTTAAAGGAAAATATTTTTTTGAATTTTAGATTCTTCAAAGTAGCCCCCGTTTTTCTTGCACACTACCAAGAGCCAATCCATCACAAGTTATTGCGATCTATAGAGCTGTGGTTTTTGTCTAGGCCCAGTGGACTGTGGGAAAACTGAACTGCCAGAACTGTGGAGCTCGATTGGGCGGCTTCAATTTCATTAACCGTAGCGAGTGTCCCTGTGGCCTGGATGCCACCGTCCACCTCAGCAAGAGCCGCGTGGAACGCGATATCAAACATTACGTTCTCATTGTCCAGCCGAAGAGGTCGAGGCCTGAGAAGGACCAGGCGGATCTGCTGATACAGCGCCCTCACAACAGCGAGGAGAGGTCAGAGATAAACAGAACTGCCTTGGACAGTTTACAGCTGAACTGTGCCACTGTCAACCCTGCACAGAGCAAGAGTAAAAACACCCAGTCGTTTCCTTTCAGTCCTCTGTACTGCATCTCTCATAGGAGAAGATGCAGTTTGGAAGATGATGGCCCCTTCAGGTCTTCATGTTTTTGCCTTGCAGGTCTTATGGACAAATCTGTTGTTGATTTGTCAAGGACAAGGGGTGATGAGCCAACACAGTCACCTGTCTCTTTTCCCACAAGTCAGCACTTTGAGACAGAAGCTGACGCTTCACCCACCGCTGCCCCCTGTCTACGTGTCTCTGAGAGTGGACGGACAGCACTGGATCAACAGCTGCTGCAGACTGTGGAGGATGCCCAGTTCTCTGCAGAGAGCACAGCTGCTGATGAGGAACGTTTTGATTCAGCCCCGTTCCTTAGACGAAGACATGTCTCTGACAGTGCCGCTGAGCAGGAGGAGGAAGTGGTGGTATGTTGCTGCTTTTCACAGTCAATGTAACAATACTGCATTAACTGGGTTAGTTAGGTCTGTGCTAGGGGTTTTTTCTGCTCTTAGTCCTGACATCTCCTGTGTGATTATATAAATGGTAAATGGTAAATGGACTGTATTTATATAGCGCTTTTTTCCAAAGCGCTTTACAGGGAGATCATACCACCATTCACCCATTCACGCACACATTCACACACCGATGACGACAGCTGCCACACAACGGCGCTAATCAAGCCACCGGGAGCAATTCGGGGTTCAGTGTCTTGCTCAGGGACACTTAGGCATGCGGGGAGACCGGGAGTCGAACCACCAACTTGCTGGTCAGCGAGACGACTGCCCTACCTCTTGAGCCACAGCCACCCCTACGTATATACTGTCACTCTGTAATAGAGGAAAAATTTAAACAATCTTATTAAAAAAAGAAAAATATTAGTTATAATCTAAGTCAGCCTTATTGTTTTAAGCACATTTTAGCCAGACCTCACAACCTCAAAAGGCTTTTTAGGGTTCAGGTTAGAATTCTGTTCATGTCCCGGTTATGGTTATGGGCTAGGGAATGCATTATGTCACAGAGTGTCCTCATCATTATAGGACTGTGTGTGTGCTACTCTCTCAGCCTCAAGCTTCCCAAGCTTCAAACAGACTGAGCAAAAGAGAGAAGAACCACCTGAAGAGTCTCCGAAGGAAACAGAGGCGGAGAGAGCGATGGTTGCATAGTCAGCTGGAGCAGGTGAGGGACACGAGTTCATGCATGAATCTAAATGACAGCTTGTCAAAAATATAATTACAGCTCTTCTAGAGACTCATTAATAACAAAGTTATGGAAACAATTGGATATTTTTTCAGCTCTTAAACTAGAAATATTTGAAGGAAACAATTTTATTCATATGCATCTTATTTGTTAGTATGTATTACTTAATGGATTTATTATATTTTGCATTCAGTATCGGGCACATACATGTTAATATTTGAAAAACAGTATTTAACAATGAGAATTCAATGATGGTGATAGAAAATGACAACTTTAGTTCTACCATTTTTTTAGCCTTCAGACAAACAAACAATCTGTAAAAATCATAACTGCACTTGTTCTGTTATTGCTGGAAGACTTCTAGTTGGGGACAAAATGTCCCTGTGTGTGTTTTGTCCAGGTGGGGAGTGTGAGCAGTTCACAGCTGGACAGTGAGGAGGAGGACAGAGAGGGCATCACCTGTGCCGTGTGTCTTGACGTCTACTTCAGCCCGCTCAGCTGTCAGCCCTGTGGTCACATCTTCTGCGAGCCGTGTCTTCGCACTCTTGCCAAGAACAGGCCAACACACACGCCCTGCCCTCTCTGCCGCGCGCTCATCTCACACACCAGCTCCCACAAAGGTGAGCGTCCTCCAGGACTCCAAGCCAGGCTGCTGAAACATCTGATCTACTGTCCTTCATGTATCGAGCACCTGTGCTAACTGATTATTTAACTGACCCAAAGTTAAGAAATCATTTTAAAAAAGTGATAATTGCTTACTAGTTATAACTGCTGGCAAACATTTCCTGTCTCCAGCTCCTGAAATGTAAAACATGTATGTTTTCCTCACTGTGCTGTATGGTTCTCATTCCTTTTCAGAGCTCGACCAAACTGCAAAGACACTTTTCCCGAAGGTCTACTACACCCGCAAACAAAACTTCCAGAATGCCCCATGTGCAAAGTGGCCTCTGCCCAGCTTTCACAAACACTTCCATGCTTTCTGGGGTGAGAAACTGTGACTTCTTTGAATGGTGAAGTCTCTGGATTATCCAGGGTAACCAGGATTCTAGAGAGGAATGGTGTTATATTTTCTAAAATGTCATTTGCAACACTGTGAGGGTTGACATGGATGTCACATACATAAAACAAAGTCTGTTTACATACAGTAGCAGACAACACAGAGGTTAGTGGGAAACGTTGTTTTTAATGCCATGTTCAGATGATGTGTTCGTTAATATTTAATGAAGACACCATCATGCAAGAATAAATCCAGAGAGAAAACAACAAACAGAACTGTCCTGTCCCCACGTCGCTCTCTGTATGACTGAACTCATTTTCACTGTTTGTTCATGTTGGACCATGACCCTGTTGGTCCCCACAATAACAAACTCTGTGTTTTTCTTTGTTCACTAAGACAAGCATTATTGTATAGTGAACTTACTGGTAAATGGTAATAGTATTTTGTACAACACTACAAGTGTCCTACGCTGCAAATTACAACAATATAAAAACATTAATTGCAAAAACACCAGTTTGAAGTGTTTTAGCCTCATAGCTATGGAAGTACAGAGCAGCTAATATTAAAATGAAATAATTTATCCACATTTACTTTCACTCTTTTTTGTAAGCATTACTGCTTCCAAAACTGATTAAGCCTGCAGTGGATTTTGATTTTTAAACTGTGAGACAGTGTGCAACCTAAACTTAAATTGCAGTCTGAAATTATGAATTTTATTGTGAATTATGTCCTGATTTTTCAATTTAGATGAAAATGACACATAAATTATATTTTTATATTACTTCTGCTCAATTTCCCTTGTTTGGGGAAGTTTTAGGATTGAAGTTCAGAGTTTGGAATTAAGATTAAATTAAATAACATATTAGACTGGAAATGTTTGTATCCCATCGTAAATAAATCACCTCACACAATATCAAACCAGTGCAAGGATATAAGGATTTTAAAAGGATACCATGTTTAATTCTCTAAATACAGATTATAATTTCATCTGTTTAACTTTAGGATATCAGAGACGGGCAGCGACGCCAAGGAGGCGCTGGCACTTTGGCTATGGAGGTTGGTTCTTTGGCATCGCTCTGGTTATCACGTGCTTCCACTCATTCAACTTGATTCTGAACGTCTCCTCATTCAGCTGGCTTCTGGAATTCCTCTCATTCAACTGGCTTCTGGAATTTCTCTCATTCCACTGGCTTCTGGAATTCTATTCATTGGACCTGATTCTGGATTTTCTGTCCCTCTGTTCCTTTTTATTATTTACTACTACTGGCTTATGTTTATATATACCTCTTTTTTATAATTTTGCTTCGTAAAGCACTTTGTGACCTTGTCTGTGAAAGGTGCTATATAAATAAAATTTACTTACTTACTTACTTACTTTTTTTGCTTTTTAAAATCTGAGTAACACTCACTCCTGCTTTATCTGGCTTCTGTTTCTTTGAAGAGAGTGTGTAATTGGTGTTTTTTTCCCCCTGTTTCACCTTTTGGCAAATTTCAAACCTGATATTTCAGTGTTAAAATATCTTTGTAATGTTAAAGGTGGTCAAGACAGATGTAGAAGCCAAAAGTGGAAACTTGAAATGTGTGAAAGCATTTGTCTCTGTAAGTTTAGATGAGAAGGCTCACTCCAGTCTCAATTAGCTGAGCTTAGCTTAAAAATAATAAAGCACATATAGCAAGAGCAGAACGACAAAATCAGTCTTGTAAATGGGTCAAACACCCATTTTAGTATGGTGCCATAGTGTAGCCTGTGCCTTCTGTCTGCAGGATAATGTGAAGCCTTTTTCCTGAAGGAAAAGACTGAGGAGTCAGGGTAACACAATTTGCATATCATCTAAATAGTTTATTTGCTTACTAAAAATAAACTCTAGTGTGCATTGTTTGTATTTAAACATAACTAGTCAAATTTATTTTTAATTCTTATGAGAGTGAAATGAATGAACCCACTGCATCTCTCGGTTTTATTTTGGGCAAAACACTTTGACAAGTTTATATTTTCATATTAGTCTTAATCTTTTTGTTTGCTCAGTGATGGCATAAAAAGTAATACTGAATGAGTGGTAATGATTTATGAATACAAATCCATCTAAATAAAAAACTAACGCACACACACACACACACACACACACACCCACACCCACACACACACACACACACACACACACACAAGGTGGCCGATGCGCGCGTGCCACAGAAGCAAAGGTGTGGTGGACAGATGTGAGATAAGTCAGCATGGCTTTCTTCTAACCATGAAAGCTCTTTTCTGTAACTGAATGTTTTAGCCTGTAGTTCTGGTTTTATGGCACATTTAGTACGGCACTCTCACCTGTGTATACAATATATGTTCCCTTAAAAAAAATTTCCCACTCGCTCCACCACTTCAAGACAGTATTTCCTTCCTTCAAGCTCGGATCCTCTACCAGAGGCCTGGGAGCTTGAGGGTCCTGCGCAGTATCTTAGCTGTTTCTAGCTGCACTCTTCTGGACAGAGATCTCAGATGTTGTTCATGGGATCTGTTGGAACCACCCTCCCAGTTTGGGGGTCACAGCCCCCAATGTTCCTATTACCACGGGGACCACTTGTGCCTTCACCTTCCACATCTTTTCTAGCTCTTCTTTCAGCCCTTAAGAGCTTAAACTAGATTTTTTTAGGTCACATTCTCTCCACTGATGAGGACAAATCTTTTCCTTCATCTGTCATGTTGTAGTTTCCCTCAAGAGCACTAGTGGCACCAAGGGACACCAGAAGTGCTTCTGTTATGAATCCTTTTTCTCATAAGCAAACCCCAGTTCCTTTTCTGCAAAGTTTCTGAACCGACCAATTATTTTTTTTGCGAAGGAATGCATGGGGCATTTATAGAGAAATGGTATAGGGTTTTTGGTCTGTTTGGCTTTCCGTAGTGTCCTGGTTGTTTCGTACGCATACACACACACACCTTGTGTTTATGTGTAGGTTTTCTTTGTCACCACGGTTCAAAACGTGTTTACAGCTGTCAGGTAAGCAAGAGCACATCTTGAAATACTTTTATGCAGCGTGTCATTATCTGAAGCAAATTTATCGGTGAAAACGCAGTAAACGTTTTAACGGTGCTAAGCCTGAGGCTAATTGTGAACTAGTGTTTATCTGTGAATGTTAGCTAATGTGCATGCTAATCCATGAGAAAATTAAACACGAATTTCTTTGTTGTTTGAACACTGTGAAAGCCATCTCTTCGTGCTATAGAATCAACACCTGAATAACAAATTTATTTTGACATCACAGTTTCATAGCCCAGGGCCAACAGGCTATATTTCAAAGTCCAGTCATAAAAATGTGGACAGCCCACAAACAGTAGGTTTAAGTAACATTAGAAACTCAGAATCTGCTTTATTGGCCATAGCCTCATGCAAGGGGCAAGTAAACAGTAAACTAACATAAGGCTGTGTAATATAACACAATAAGCAGGATTAACAGGCAACAAACAGTGCATACAATGCAAAATAATTAGGCTGATTTGTGTTGCTTGTGGTTTTCAGCCTCTCGGTTTTTAGTTCACGGTTCAG